TAAAAATTTCAATTTAACATACAGACGTCTAATATTGGCCCTAGGTTCTATTATGAGCCCTCTTAATAGGCTCTATTATAGTTTATTCACCTTGACAAACTAAAAAATGAAATTTTTAAAAAATATTTCCCATTTTTCTGATCTTCCAAATTTTTGGGAAAATTCAAAAAATTAAAAAAATTACAATAGAGGTATTGTCAATATCCATAGAACAATCTTGAAGCATATTAGAATCTCTCAATTCTTCATATATTTTTAGATCAATTGGAGTAAATTTTTCTTTTAATTTATTTTCGTGATTGATAGAACTTAAAATTAATATTATTAAAAACTAAATAAAATCCTTTCAACATGAGGACATTTTTATAGCTTTTAGGGTTTGCTATTTTGCCGTGCGACCTTTTAAGCTTAATCTAACCCAAAATAGTTTTATATCTCTTTCCAAAGTCATCGTCTCTACAAGTAGAAAGATCAAGTCTGATCACTCATTATATGTAAAGTTACAAGCAGATAAGTGAAATCATTTATAGTTTTCCACATTTATATTCCTATACTTTTGAATTAGTGATTAGACGTGATCTTTCCTGTTTAAAAACAGATAATGCATATCGAAGGCTTTCGAAGTATATAATATTCATTCTGATTAGGCCCCCACCCAATTCTGAATGCTGATCAACACAGTTAATTTCCAATAGGCCGACAAACAAAAATTAAAATTAATAATTAAAAGAACATAAAACTTTACAAATTAAATTCTCCAAAAACATCAGTAACTTTTCTCTTTCTATAACGCCAATGAGATTTAATAGCTTCTATATTTTGATCAAAACCAACAAAACGAGTTGATAAAAGTAAACGAACATCATTCCAAGCATTTCTTTTCTTTTCAGAAAAAGTTAAATCCTTTGAATAAATTTTGGATGAAAAATTGGTAAAATTTTTTAAAATTACCCGACTTGTATTATTTTCTACTAAAAGTGTTTTTCTCTTAAGAACCTCAATAACAAGAAAGTCAGATACTTCAGAAGTAAATTTTCTCTTCTCGCGGCCTAAATTTATAAAGTAATTTTTGAAAAATTAAAAAAGTTTAGAAATAATTCTGACTTAAATCAGGGACGAGCCAACAAAAATTAAATTCCCGATTTCGGGAAATCGGGACGGCTCGTTCCCTGGTGTATATCCTTCTAAATACAAAAAATATTCTTTAACACCCTCTCAAGTATGGCCAAGATAAAAAATTATTTTTTAGAATTTAGGCGAAATTCCTGTCATCCTTTATGCTCCCAATATACACATAGGTATCTTAGAATATACAGACTTAAGGTTATAAAACTCGACTAAAATTTTCAATGATATCACGATCAAATCAAAAAAGTATCGGAAATTAATAAATGGCCGTTACATATGGCCACCAGAAACTCAGTATTTTTGCGAACTGGGAATGTTTCCGTGACTGATGATTTCAAAATACCCTTCTTATTATTTGCCTATACATAAATTAAAGAGATAACTGTAATTAGACTTTACAAAATATATTTAGTGTTAGCATACATTGCTTAAAATTATTTTTCTGTATTTCCTCAATCTGATTTCCCTTAAGCTCCTCAAAATAATTAATTTGATTTTGTTGTTGTTGATTATTATAATGTCCAATAAACTGAGCTGAAGCTACGATTTTTCTAAAAGTTGCGAGAATATCATCTTTGTCATTTTCTGTATTGTTATTGTTGTTGTCCAACAAATTTTTATTTATATTATTATCCATTTTCTTGTTAAAATTAAATATTTTTTAAATTTATTGTCCTCAAATTTTAAAATGTTTCGAAGAATTTAAATGAAGAAAAAAGATTATGTCTTTCTAAAATAATCTTTGTAATTCTTTATATGACCTCTTTAGAAAAAGTTCATTAGAGTTAGGTAATAAAATGAATAATTATTTGAGTTGCCCACAACTGTGGTTTGCTTAAATTACGTGGTTTTTGCTCTTTCAGGTTACGGCACGGTAAAAATCTTTTTCGGCTGCATTGGTCATGTCAGGCTAACTCAAGGAAAAGATAACTCACAAAACAACCAACTCACGGAATGGCCAAAACAAGGAATATCCTAAAAAGTCTTATTTTTTAAAAATTTTCCGTGTGGTGGTCGTTCTTTGACTTATTTGTTCCATGACTTATGCTTCCTTTACTTATCAGTTCCGTGATTTGGAATCCCCACAGTTGCCCCTCACCCATCAACTTTTGTCCTTATAAATGGAATTTTTGGATTAAAAAAAGAATATTAAAAATTAAAATATAATAGAATGATATCCTATTTAGATGCAATAACAGTTTAAAAACTTTACATAAAAACATAATATTTAGCAAAAGAAAAGAATAAATTCTTTAAAGTTGAGGTGAAAGAAGAGAAGGCGTTGGTTGCATTTCAGATCAAAAAATTTCATCTCCGCTATGATATTAAGGAAAGATTGTTTTTAAATGAGAAATTTTAGTTGTGAGGCATATTAAATGTTAAATACCTTATTTAATTTAAATGAGGAAAAAGGGCATTTATTTGAGTAGAAAATTAATTAGGTTGAAGTAATAAACGAAGGAAGGGATTAGGAAGTTATAAACGAAGGAAGTTAAAATAGAAAAATGCTTAAAATATAAGCTAAAAGTTATAAAAAATAATCAGCGTAGATAGTGTCTGGAAATCTTTATCAGGTATGGACTTTCCGTATTTTTAAAAGGAGGGAGACTGAAGGCGCAAGAAAACGGAAGAAAATAAGAACAGAAGCCGAAGGGCCAAAAAAATTAAGTAAACGGAAGAGATCCCATCCCTGATCGGTGTGATTTTTTGACATATCCGGAGCCAATTTGTATGAAAATATTTGTTTGGAAACACTAAAGAGCCCCAAGATTCAAGACCTTAGCCCCAAGTTTCAAGACCAAAAATTAACAAAATTTAAGACAATTATTTGGTCACATAGGACAAATTTTTAGTTTATTTTTCGTGTATAATTTATATAAATCTAATCAAACAACCTTAAACCTCTTTTATTAACTTAAATAATAAAGGAGTTAATATAATTAAAAGACAAATTGTATGTATATTTATGGTTGTTATGAGATGTAATTTAACAAAACGGGAAAATATTATTTATAAAAATTCTGCCAGCTGAATGAGGTTATCTTCAGATCGCGATCTTGCACCATCTCATTCTATTACTAGTGGACACGGTTGGTTAAATACCTTTGGAATTTATTTAAATGAAGAAAATAATTTAGTAATTTATTTGGAAGCAATAAACTCTAAAATTACATGTACAAATATCAGACAAAATGCTTATATTCAAAAATAAGAAAACAATTGAGAAGCTTAGGCATGAAGCCCTTTTCTTCAATAATAATGGGTTGACGGAAAAAGAATGAGCCCTTTGTTATGATCCTTAATTTTAGCCTATAAAATCATGATTATTCATTAATTTTTTTTATCATACAGTGAGGACAATAGCTAGCTGTGTATAAATGATAAATCCTAAAAACGGTTATACAATCATGCAAAACTACCTATGTCGATTTCCTATATTTTTATTTTTTTTTGTCATGATATTGAAACTAAAAAATATACGTCTTCAACGTTATGAAATAGAATTTTAAATTGAATTTTCGTGATTTCAATTTATTCCAAAAATTTTAAAGAAACCAAAATACCTAATACTTATTTATATTTTATCTTTGTCTATTTCCACTTTTATTCAACATTGGTTGTTGTAATAATCTTTTTTCCATTCTTTTTGGATTTGTTTGATACCCCATATCTACGTAAACATTACTAGGACAATTTCCATCTGTTGGAGAAGAATAATAAGGAAATGGAGGTAAAGGCTAAAAATATCAAAATTAAAAGTTTAAATTTAAAATTCCTTTGCATATAATCGAATTTTCAGCCCGAGAACTAAGCTTGGCCCCACTGTTGTTTTTTAAATTTCGGGGTCTGTATCTCGGCCCAAAGTTAAGAACGGAGGTTGATTTTGTGGACTGAGCATCCACAAAATATGTTGAGGACATCCACCTTTATCTTTCAAGTACCTCTTATAGGGATAGAATAATGGATATTTTAACTTGACCCAACTAATCAATAGAGTACAAGTTGGATCAGTAAAGTACTCGAACAAAAAGCTCGATTATCTATATTCCCAACCTTCAAATTTAAATCTCTAATAGAGAGTTCTTCCTAAAAATCACCCCACCTTACACCTCTCCTTTTTGGTTCATTAAATAAATCACCTTTAATTTTATGTTAATATTTGTCCTCAAAATTCTGCCATTTTGTGCTTTCAACGGCCTAAAGTTTGAGCTTAATGTTATTGGAGGAGAAGACAATAATGATGAATCATCAACTTGATTTTTCTTTTTTAGATTTGTATTTATTTCTGTTGGTTTTTCGCTTTGTAATAATTCTGACCATAAATTTAACTTGAAAAATAAATTTAAAATAAAAATAAAATTAATACATCTTCAGCTGTTATATATATTGGTGAATTGTAAATGACCCTTAAAAAGAAAAATTAGAGAAATATTTAGGCAAAAAAGGGAAAAATCGGGAAAAATGGGGGCGCATAATCATTAGTATTATGCTAAAAAGTTGTAGCTTGCTTTTCGAACATAAAGCACGCTTAGGGTTAAGGTTAACACAATTGCTAGGTTTAGGCATTTTGTTGATCCGGAAGGCATCCAGCTTAGTCCTAGAGTCATATTCCTAGAGTCATACTAGCCCATTGGGCTCTATTTTTCAACTATCCTCCAAAATGGGGCTGTATTATAGGGTGAGGCTCTAATTGAGAGTGGGGCTTTATTTGAGGAAATACGATATATAGGTAAGTTTAAGTGGAACGATTACTGACTAGAATTGTCGGTTCCTGGAAATTCTTAAGATATTCGAAACCGAACCGAAGAATCAAAAAATCATCAATTCGTCGGTCGGTTCAGTCCAGAACTTTCAACACTATCCATTCCTGACTAACGTTTTAGAAGAAAAAAAGAATTCTTAGGGAACATAAAGCTGTCTATTTTGAGATAAATATTTAATGTATACCAGTTAACAGTCTCGAAACATCCGGGGAATGTTAATGACCCTTCATATGTAATATAATAATCTGTGTGTGGCAGTAAAGCAGAAGGTTGGAAATGCTTGATTTGAACTACTTGATCTTTAAAAAATAAATTTAAAATTTCAAAAAAAAATAATTTTAACTTCTATATTTAATATTTATTGCTGCTTTAGCTAAGCGTTTTAATTCAACATTTGTTTTATCACCAATCTACACAAATTTATATAAAAATTTTAAATTATATTTGATCAAATTTTACATCAACAATAATTCCGACAGCTAAGAGACCTCTAGGTTGTGATTGCGCTTGAGTAAAATTTTCGTAGAGATCGGAATTATAGGCTAATAATTGAATCTAAAATTAATTAGATAATTTATTAAAGAATATTTTGAAAAACGTCCATGTTATTCTAGCACTTATTTGAACTACTCGATGTTCTGCCGGCAACATATTATTAGAACGCATTAGAGTATAATGCGTTCTAGTAATTAATAGAGATTGGTAAAACTAGATCCCCCCATGCCGACATTTAGAAAATCTGTTACTCCAAAAAATCTGTTGCGAGACCCAGGAATAGCTTAAAAAATTAAAGAGGATCGATCATATGTAATTAATTTTAAAAAATCCCAATCATAAGAAATTGCAATAAACCGAAATTTTAGGGCGAGACCCCAGAAAATCTGTTACGAGATCCCCCCAGTGCCAATCTAGTAATTACATTGTCAAAATTTAATATAAATCCGTGTCTTGTAATTAATAATAGATTTCTGTGTGTATTTAATTGAATCGCTGACTTCAGAATGAGGAATAGGAATGGGATCACAATTCAGATTGCAATTCAGATGATTTAAAAAAAAATCTTAATCATAACATCCTAATTTAAATATATCCAACCTCCGCAGGAAATCTAACACGATTAATTGTATGTTCCGAACCAACTTCTCCTTTTTTAATATCTCCAAAATGAAAAAGCTTTAAATAAAAGAAAATTTATTTAACAGACAATTCCCTAACCAGTTGTTGAAATTGATAATTATAAGGAAATGCAGGGCCTCCACTTAATTTAACATTAACAGAATTTAAATTATTATTATTTGATTGTTCATTATTATTAAATGAATTATTAACAAAAAGTAAAGGAAATTGTCCAGTATTCCACAATTCCGCATTTTCTAATTTTTCTCTAGAAATTGTTAATTTGCCAAGTCCTGGATCAAACACTAATCTTTAAATTATTTGATATTTTTTTGTCAAATAAAAGGAAAGAACATACTTTTCTGGATCCAAGTTTATCGGACTCTGAATAAAATAAGAAAAATATTATTTTTGAATTTAAATTTTTGGATTGATGGAATTTAAAAATATTTTTTCGCTCTGAAGTTTTGCGTTTAAAATAGAAATTTTCAAATATAATTTTCTAAATTCCCAAATATAATTTTCCAAATTTTAATAGAGTATAGAACAATATGTTAAAGGAGGGCTGACGGATCTGAAATTTTTGATTCAGATCTCAGACCATGGAATTTCCAAGGGATCTGTCAACATTATTAATAAAAGTCATATGAATAATTTTCTTCCTTAGCAAGTAATCTTTCCTTAGCAAGTAAATACTCGTTATTTCTCAAGTAAGATATTTATATCATAGCATAATACATACTAAATGTAATCAGATTTTTTTCTGAATTTTTATGAAAAGTATAGACTTGACAAGGCCTATTTATTAAAAATTATTCGTTAATTTTACTTATACTTTTATTATCATTAAATTAAAAATTGTGTGCCTGTAATTTCCCTGCTTTACACATTCTCCAGTGTTTATGCATAAGTCCCCAAAAATCAGGACCTTAAATAAAATTAAATAAAAAATTTGTTTTAAGCTTCTAAATATTTTTTTATTATTTTTTAATAAAAGAAACGTGAAGAATTCCCAAGCGAATAGTTTTATTAATACACTCTGTCAGAAAATGATAAGCACCCCCTAGTTTTTAAGTACAAGCGTGATAAAGTTTAACATATCATAATTTTTAATATTTTTACGACATTCTAATCGGTATTCAAAGAGAAAAAAACAATCAGTAAAAATTTTAATATGAGTAACATAGAAAATAAGCGAAATTTCATAAAAACAACTGTCAGAAAATTATAAGCACCCTTAAGTTTTTTCTAATTTTTGCGAGAAATATCAACAAATAAAATATTTTAATAATGAGTCGGTCCACCCTTCTTGCTAATAACTTCAATTAAGCGTTTATTCATTGTACCGATCAATTGTGCGATATGGTTCTGATCCAATCTCTCCCATGCTTCTTTTATGGCACTTTTTAGGTCATTGAGATTATTAAATTGCCTCCCATTGCTGTATACAGACTTTACAAGTAAAGCCCAGACATTCTCTATTGGAGATAAATCAGGGGATTTAGCTGGCCATTCAAGTAATGGCAAGTTTCGCCCTTGAAACCAGTTGCGCGTTGAGGCAGAAACATGAATGCTTGCATTGTCTTGTTGGAAAATATGATCCAAATGTGGTCTTTGTTCAAGGAAAGGAAGAAGGAAATTTTCTAAGATTGCTTGATATGATTCTGAGTTCATTTTGCCTCGTACAAATACTATTTGAGTGCGCCCCAACGAAGAAACTCCGGCCCAAACCTCAGTCAGGTTGGGACAGGTTTTAAGACATTTACGAACCAAATTAGGAGAAGATTTTGCCACCCTCCAAACGGTATCGTGAGAAACATTGAGCGCTAACTCATCACAAACACGACGTACCCCCTTTTGGGTGTTGGAAAGTTCCTTAAGAATGCGACGGCGGGTTCGAGCACTTAGTTTTTTTGGACGGCCAGGGCTTTTATTTATGCCATAAGATTCTCTTTTGTTCAGAAAGTGCCTAATTGAAACTTTATTCGATAATGATCTTAAAATTACCTAATTACAGACATTGATCTATTAATTCTACGTGAAATCCACTTATTCGAACGACCTTCTTCTTTAAAAGCCAAGATCTGTCCTTTCTCAAGATCGGATAAAATTGTTCCCTTGGGCATAGTTTAAAATTTTTGCGAAAATAAGCTCTAAATAAAAAAATATGAAGGGTGCTTATAATTATCAGACAGCATTTTTAAAGAAAAATTCTTGAAAAAGGACAACAGGCTATTTTTTGACTTATAAATTTTATAATATAGAAAAGAATATTAAGTAATTTAATATCCCAGAAAAACAAAATCTATATTATTAAAAAAACAAATAATACTGGAAAATATTAGGGGGTGCTTATCATTTTCTGACAGAGTGTATGTATAAGGTCAATATATGTATAAAGGTCCTATGTACATATTTACTTTTTGGTTCTAAATTTTATTTTTTTTTTCAAATTTATTTTTGATATACAATAATTTTTGAAATATTCATGAAAAGCATAGACCTTTTATTAATTATTAACACTTTTTATTTATTGGGTAACCAAGAACATAACCAAGAACTTAGGGATAACCAAGAACATAATTTCCGAAGGAATATTAGTCCCAAGAAGAGATGGGATTTAAATGAAAGTAATAGCGACATGCAAAGGATTTTGTAAAAAAAATATTGTTGAACATAAAGCGTTCTTAATCCTACATAAATTTATATACAAGATAAAAAATAGATAGTGTAAATTGCTGATAAAACTTGCGGATTTTTCGAGTATAATGGAAAGGGACCAAAAATTATTTAAAAAAAAATAAATTATTAATTAATCCAATTAAAAAATATTTCATTCAAACCAATTAAAATACAAGGCTTTATGCACAAAAAACCAAGTGCGGCCAACCAAAAGGGCATTTTTTTGAATGAAGGAATAAAAAGAAAGAAGTGCTTTTTACTTTGGCGGAATAAAAAACAATAAAAGAAATAAAAGATTGGATTCCACAAAGTACAAATGTAAAGTAAAAGGGTAGAGGATTTCATTTTTTATATTAATAAAATTATTTTTCCTAGAAATAAAAAGTTGCTAAACGTCTCTAAAACGAGGAGTAGAAAATTTCTTGATTTATGGATAGGAAGCCATGACAGGGAACTCCCGGCATTCTTAGATACCGTATTTCCTCTAAAATAGCTCCCCTCTCTAAATACCCCCCCCCCCCCCCCACTAAAATAGCCCCCCCCCCCCAGAGGTCGATCGAAAAAATAACCCCCGGGAGCTATTTTAGAGGATTTACGGTATTTCATATAATCTTAGGGGGGAAGGGGGGTTGGGGATAGTGAGAAACCCCCTAAACGATAATGTAAGAATATTTTTAATTTAGTGCCGCCTTCACCATCAATTGAATATCACATTGGGGATAACTAAAAATATTTTATAATGAAGGGTGTCTTGGAGTATTTTTATGGTCGAGAAGCCTTTCCCTTTGGCCAACCTATTAAAAAAACAAATTATCTAATATGAAATATTGAGGTCCGATTAAAAATTAAAAATAAATATAAAAATGATACCAATTAGAATTTTGTATGTTAAAAGAAAATTTCCTTCTCTTTTATTAATTTTTTTGAGAAACAAGCGTGAGATTTATTTTCATTTTTGTTTTAGATAAAGCTTTGGTAGAAGAATAAAAGAAAGTGTAATAGGCGGGTATTTTATATAAAAACATATTTTTTTGGAATTTATTTAAAGAAAATAATAATAGATAGAGTAGTTAAAGGGGGTATTTACAATTTATTAATTAGACTTTTTTTGTTTAATATATTTTTGAGATAATGACCAGAGGTGGGTTGGAATTCCGATTTCCGACGTTTTTTTCCTTCCGATTTCCGGCGTTTTTTCCTTCCGATTTCCGAAAAAAACTTTGATTTCCGAGTTCCGACTTTTGAGCCAGTTCCGATTTTTGGCTCTTCCGATTTCCGACACCTCGGACTGTTCCGACCCAACTCTGGTAATGACGAAATAAACACGGAAGGTCACCGACCTAGTAAGGTTGGCGGATAGTTGGCTGATTCTTCGGATATCCGAACCGAAAATTCCGAATATCTGGTCTTTTTTAGGGTACGGATATTCGGATCCGCCAACCTTACTTCCTAGAGATTAAATGATGCTAGAGTTCAATATAAATATAAAAATTAATATATTGTTTTGTTCGTTTTTCTCGTATTTTTTAAAATTATTCTTTTTTTTAATAATCATTACCCTTTTAACACCCAAATAAAAAATATAAATTTCAATCAGTAATGTTAATACACAGGAATTGATCAAATTTTAAATAATTAATCAAATTAAACTGTTATTTTACCGAATATTATTTATTTATTTTGTTTGAAAAATAAATATTTTTAAAAAATTTAAAAATAAAAACCTCCAAATAAATCATTATCATAAATCCACGGATATTCTCCATTATTCAACAATGTGGGTGTAGTTAATTTTAACATTGTATA